CAAGTAGTTCTGGTTGACAGGGTCCAGGAGAAGAGCCTTATCTGGTACAACTCCCCCCCCCATCTGGAACATTGTGATGCACACCCACCCTTTTGGCCTTCTGAAAAGTTCTGAAGGTCTGCCCTGGGGCCCTAATGGGGTATGTTATTCTGGAGATGGTAGACCCCCATCTCTTCCCCATGGGCATTTTGCCCCTTCCTCCCTATCGTTGACAATTTTGAATCAAAATGTTACTATTTATTGTTTTGATGTTTTAATATATTATATTGGAGTTTTAATTATTGTAAGCTGTCCAGAGTCACTTTCAGATGAGATGGCATATAAATTGAATGAATGATTGAATGGTATTCTATACTACTATCAGGAAATGGTGCCATGCTTCAACCACTTCTCCTAATGCTGTACACAATATTAATACTGTTGACTCAATATCTGTGTATTGCTATAATTGTATGTATTTTCAAAGCTTGTTAACAAATAACAGCACGAACATCTTAGTTAACACATAGATGTTTAGAGGTATGACCAGAATTATATTCCATCAGAGGAAAAATTAAGCCTGGCAGAAAAATTCCAAGCTCATTTTGCCTTCATCTGAGCAAACAAAACATTTTCATTTCTTTCTATTCAAAAAGATGATCAAAGCAATATCCTAGGCTCCAAATATACTGACAGGAAATTGTCCATTGGAAAATCGTATGTTTAAACAACTTTAGCATGAGATAGTCAAGTCACTTTGGCCCATAGGAGTTTACAATTCACTTTCTAATCCCTATTGCAGTTTTGAAAGCCTGAATCCAAAGTTAAAGGTAGAACAAATAATAATCTGAGGTTAGTTAGCAATAGATCAATGTATTGTATAAAACAGCAATCTATGATATACTTCTGAAAACAGTATCATGCTAGTGGAGCATAAATTGAAATATATTCTTCCTATTGCAGCATAGACTTTAAAAGAATAAAAATATGATGCCAACACAGCAACACAATCAATCATACTTTGCACCATATATAATATAGGTTATTAAGACATTGTCAAAGCCCTATGTCTTTTTATATCTTTATCATTACATTTATAAATCAGGGAAGGCTGTGTTATTTCCATATCAAGCTATATTTCTGTAACACTGAATTGTTCTACTCTCATTTATTTCTGATTCCAATGCATTGGTACTGCTAGCAGAAAAAAGAGTGTATATTATGGATGAAATTTTAAAAAGAAAAATGAGCAGTCTTTCTTGTCACAGGTGTGAAGGACGTATGACAGGGATGGGCTGTTCTCATATCAGATGCATTTTACCTGAAAGAGGAGAAAAAGGCAGGAGGGCACTAAAATCAAGTGATTCAGAAGTTATTTGCAAAACATCAGAGGATTAAATCCTGGACATCCCTCACTGCATAATGAAGAATTCCAAGTCTTTTATTTTGTTCTGGCAATCTCTGTTTTTTTACGCAGATAATATCCAAGTGGTACTATAAAAAAAGAATGGGCTAGACTCCAAGGTTTAAACTACCTTTTTCTGACATGAATATTTTCCCTTTCTCCCTAAAAAGGAAAGGCAGGTAGGCAGAGATTTATCTGCAAGTGAGAGGTAGGTTTGTCTTTCCAAAATCTTGCAAGCAACACTGCATAACCTAGTACTTTGGTTTTTCATATTTATGCTAACAGTTGTATAAGCTATAATCCTTAGGAATTATGGAGTCACCTTTCAAAGAAGTATCAGGAGATTATGCCAAATGTTAAGGGCACAAATTATCTACTCAATATAGGACTTCTATATCTGATTTTGTTCATATACCAGCAAAAATATTTCAAGCAAGTCTTAGGTTTTAGCTCTTACAATTGAAAGATCATTCTTGCCATATTTCTATACCATGAAGAGACCTACAGTTCAAAATTCTACTAAGGAATTAATAAAAGTACAAAAAGAGGTATTCACACTGTATTGGAGCTATTCAAGTAGAAGTCTTGTTTAGCTTGTTTTAAACCCTATAATGAGCACGAGGTTGGATTCAACAGCCAAAATGGATCCTTCCAACTCTGTGATTCTATACAGTAATTTCTAATCCTTCTATATTTCAACTGCTTCTTGTATTTTTTTTTCTAAACAGCCCAAATCTATAAAGGAAAGAAAGATTGGAAAACTGAAGCATAACTTTTGATTGATAGTGCTACTTCCAGAGAAGAAATGTGGAATGAATATCCTTGAACAAAGGAAATAACATTATAGCTGAATTAGCATCTGGATGTTGGATCCAAGTTACTGAGATGTCTCTGGAGAAGGAGAGATTATAAGATTGCCCATATGTATTCTCAACAGGTGCAACTCAAAAGTAGATGGCAGAAACCAATGCTTCTGGGGTTGCTTAGGTGTCATGCAAGTGAAAGTCAAAGGATTTTACCAGGCTCACAGGCATAATGCAGCCTCTAAGGACTTTATGTTTGACCAATCTTCATCTCTTAATCCTTTTAGGAATTACTTTTTTATTTTTATATATTATTTTATTTATTGAGAACCGCTGAAATTATGCTACTCACTGGGTGAGTCTCCCTCAATCTGCACTGAAAAGATTTATAAATACCAAGTTAAAGATTCAGAAAAAAATATTTTTGGACTAAACAGCAAAAGATTAGAAGGTTAATTTTGGGAAGATTTAAATGAATTAAGGGTCCAGATAGATGTGAAATAAGAGTTTAAAATTTATTCTATGAATCCTTTCTGTGGAAAACTGATGTTTTTAACTCTAAAAATAGAAGCATAACAAGATAAGGCTTGAATGCTTGGATACTAGAGGGATTCAGAAGGAACAAAAGATTGCATTTAAAGGAGAAACCAATTACTTGCCAACAGTGGAGCAATGTATTTCAACACCAGATGCATTTAATGGTATTTGGGAACAATGGTCTCAGACATTATTTTAAAAATATCTGATATCTTTGATAAAAGGATTGTAAATGATGTTGTGATATAATAGGAGTTCTATTATATAGGTCTAAAACTGATTTAAATGTAGATTTGGAAATGCTAAGTTACAATAATGATATGCAAGGAGAGAAAATACTGGATATACAAATAAAATTGGCTTCAATATTTAAAAGGGATATATTTATAATAAACTAAAAAAGCAAAACAGACAGTTTTCCTATACTGGATGTACAAAATAGCCCTAATAAAACTTTGAAGGATTTTGTGACAAGAGGCAAAGCAAAAATGAAAACAGGTTTTAAGAAAGATATCAGTTAAACTTCTCAAGTTTTTTTTAGAAAAGACAAAGAAAAACAACAACAAGAAATCAAGTTCTAGGACATTATTTAAGGGGATTAAAAACTAAAATTATAGAGTATATATATAAATATATAAAATAAGGATAAGGAATACAAAATTGGTTTATTTAATCAAGGTAAAATATATGTCTTATTATCTGTGACAACCATTAATGGATTTTTACTGATCAGGACTGAATGACAAGGTTTTAAAGATATGGGAAAAAGAGTTTATTATATATTTTAACTCTACTTGACTAATTGTTAAATAGGTATGTGTTTTTTCTTGGTAACTTTAATGAATTTTAATTAATGATTTAATTATGAAGTTTGGGGGATTTTTAAAAAATGTATATAGGATGAGATGTAGAAAAAAAGAAAGGATTATAAAGTGGGTTCTGGGATTAAATTTAAAATAGTTTTGTTGTTATTTCTGATATCCCTTAATCAACTTTTGATGATTATGATAGAATGACAAGGTTTAAGAGTTGTTTATAAACAAGGAGATGAGGTACAGGATGAAGGGATGTCTCATTTTTCAAGAGAAGGAGATGAGTTGTCAAAACAAGCTTTTATACTTGGTATGACAAGGAGAAAGTTATTTACCTTTTTTATTTTCCCTCTGAACTTTATACCTTTTATTCTTTTTGAAGTTTATATTAGCTTTCATTGATATATTTGTAATCTTTAATAAAAGTATTATTTAATAAAAGATAGTGGTAGGAACCATCTACAGAAAAACGTAGTTGTGTTGATTGTAGGTGTATTATTTGAAAGCACAGCTTAAGTGCCAGCTTCTTAATCAGCCAGCTTCCATTTAATCAGCCAGCTTCCATTTCCCAAAGAGAGTTATAATATTAATTTTCCTGCATTTTTGGTATAGTGAAATGCAAACTAGAATCTGACTAATAGCAAAATAGCTCAGAGAAGCCACAAAACAATTCTGTCATCTTATAGATAGCATTGCATTGTTAATCCCTTCCCACCTTGTCCAATTCAGACAAGAACTGAAGAATATAAAGAAATAACACAAAATATGTTGTAATGACATAGCTATAGTACTCCACAACAATGAGGAAACACATGACAATTTTAGAAGGGAACAATGTGAAAGCAATCCTACAAAGAATTTAGTGACACAAACAGGTGATACAAGGCAATATTTTGCAAATGCAAATTGCTACATTCTCAGGTGATAATTTATGACCATATGTAAGTATGAACATGCAATATATTTCTGTGGATCTTCAATCCATCATTTTGTATTAGCCAGCACAATATTTTTTTTAAATAAATATTCTGGAACATAACTGCCAATAGTTGTATAAGGACATGCAAGATGACAATGAACAGTGCACGCTTATTCAAGTATAAACATAAATAGGCCAGAAGCAACTGAAACTTTGCTCCTTAGCAACAGAATTTATTCTTTAAGTCTAACTATTACAGGTCTCTGCCCTTGTTATAAGATTTCTTGGAAAATGAATTTGTTTCATAAAAAACTAACTATAAATAGTTTAAAGCAAGCAGGGAATAATCACAAGATTCTGGTTAAAAATCATATATTTTGATAATTGTATAATAAGGTCAGAGTGCTTGACATCAATGAAAGAATGGATATGTTTCTTCATGCATGCCTTCATCCTTCCATCTGAAGAAGCAGCACAGAAAAGCAGAAAGCTCGGAATGGGATGCATCCTCAAATGCAGGACATGGAGACTGAGCTTCATCTCACCTGGACTTGTGTGAAAGGTTTCACTTGAGAAGACAGATTCATTGCCTTTGAGAAAAACCCGCACTATATACTTCTCACCAGGAATCAGATCACTCAGCTCCAGAAAACCTTTAGCAGGGGAAGATTTCACTGTTTTGTTACCTGGGAAACAGAAATCTCATATCAAAGGTAGCTAAAAAGAAAAGAAGAGATTATTGTGTGGTTAAGGATCAAGTTGGGCTATCAGCCTGATGCTCCATCATATTGATGAGAATCAGTGGCTGGATAAAATATTTCAGCAAGATGAACATCCAGAGTTTGAGACCCCACCCAATTCAAAGTACAAGGGTTTGTTTACAAAAGTTTTATAAATCAGCTTACACTACTGGCAGAATTGATTTTCTAGACACCATTTCGCTAATATAAGCACGCTCCAGCATCAATTAGATAATATCAGATGGAAGATTCTTACACAAATGATTCTGTGATTGCAGCTAAATCCAGAAATAAAAACCAAAATAAAACAAAAAACAAAACCTCTACTTGGAAAAAGGAGCCTATTTTCACACAGATTCTGAGAAATTTCTAATTTGGATAGGAAGGAATTGCCATAGTTTCTTGTCATTTCCAAGTATTAAATAATATTCACAAACCTTCCTCTGAGAATACTTTCATAATGGCTTGATGTGTTGTTTTTGAATTCATCTACAGTTTGGAAAGGTTAAGGGGAAATATATATATACTCATATTAAAACCATACAGACAAATCAGAATATAAAATCCATGTCCAAATAGTTAGCCATGGATCTGTAAATGCTTAAATTCATGGAAAACCTGGGCTTATAAAGACTGGACTAGATTTATAAATATATAAATGAAAACCATCATTTTAATTGCAGTTCTTAAAGTGTTTCTGAGCAGCAATTTCTCATAAATATATGTATAACTGCATACAATTTAAAAAGTATTCCAGAGGAAGGAAGATAGCCTTTTCCTTTGGCCTTGTAGTAATCATCTGAATGATATGCATAGAGATATTTCAAACTGTGCACCAGACATTGCACAAATCTCTTCAGCACTTTATCAAATATTTTATAGTCAGTCATGTTAGCTGCAGTTATTAGGGCTACATGTTCAATAAATTATATGGATAACAAATTTTTTGGGGAACCACCACCACAATGTGGTTTGGCCCATCAGCCTAAAGTCACCAACAAATATAGAATTATAAAAATTAATTGAAATAAAACTCTAAGAGAAAACAAGACCTACAGGGCATTAAATACTCTGCAACATTCCCATGAGCCCAATGCTTACTGTTGCTATACTCAACCACAAATTCAGTGTCAGCATCAAATGCATGGTTCCAGGTGATGTTTGCCCAGTTATTGTTAGATGAAATTTTTACATTCCAGATAGGCGGCAGCTTTCCAACACCAGCTGGTGAACAGGTTAGAATAGAAGTTAGTAAACCAGATAATGTAGAAACAATGCTTTCCAACCTAAGCAAAGTAGGGCAGATGTGCTAGTGTACTTAAGTTCCCAAGCGGAGGGTATTTATGGGGGCATTCTTTTTCAGAAACAGAAGTCCTAGGGTTGGTTTTTTGGCAGAGAAGGAGGAAGGGAGAGAGACCGAAAGAGAGAGAGAGAGAGAGAGAGAGAGAGAGAGAGAGAGAGAGAGAGAGAGAGAGAGTCCCCTCACAGAACTATGTGAGAAACTACTATGCAAATGAGCCTTAATTTACTTAACTACTTAGGAAGGATCTCAAACAATTTAGCAATTTAAGACTCACCACAACAGATTGAGACTCTTAGTGCAGTTTTATTATTTTAAAAGCATTGTTTGCACTTGGAAACCTAGATGAAACTTTTGACAGTGAAGCACTAACTTCTAATGAAAGCTAGCTTGTACTCTGCACGCTAGAATTCTTTTCAGACAAATGGACTGCTGATGCTGAGCACTTTAATGGTTTGGCGGCAGCAGTTCCTGATAGTGTGTTTAAGTAGATTTACGAAACACAAATATATTCTGCTTCAACACCACATCAAACCAAAGAAAAGTTCAGTGCACTCTAAAATATACCAGCTCTCTGATTTAATGTCTATCAAATCTAGAGAGAAAACTTTTTTGTTAGTATTCTGCACAGAACGCATTGATAATCCTTTGTCCTTTGTTGATTTTATGTTAATACTAGTTTAGCTGGCTTGGCAATTTTAGCTCAGTAATACAAGATGTTGCTTTAGGCTGCTTTTCTATCAGTATTTACCTGGATGATGTTGATATAAAAATGAATTCAGTGAGAATTACTTCTGCATATGATTATAAGCTTTTTGTATAAAGTGAATTATTAAAATACCTCTTTTTAATAGAAGCATATTTAAACAGTAAATACAGCTGCTATGTGAAAGCATTTTCCTGTCAACTATATTTTTCAATCTTCTCAATAATATATTTCTGTTTCCAATAAAAGTTCCATTTTGAAATGTCTATATACTGCTACCTTGTTCTAGTCATTACCACCACATGGTCATTCATATAAGATATAGTTTTGATATCAGCTAAGAAATCTTTACGTTGATGAAAGCCAGGCATTATGTTGAGTAAACATGGCTTAAAAGACACATGAATATTCCCATTTTTTCTGATGAGACTCCAATAATTACAGCATTTAATCAGGATAATTGGGGTTTGCTTTAACTTTCATCAGGATTGTAAAATCACTGCTGGTCATGCCATGGTCAACTCTGAGTCAAAGAATAACATAGGACTGAGAGAGAGAACATTTTAATCAAGAATCCCAGGTATAATTTTTTTTAGCAAAGAATGTCTGGATATGATTAACTGTCCATGTCAGGAATTTGTACACAGGAAGCATTCTTTGTTTAGAGCAATTCAATTAAATAGTTCTTTGTTTTGAAATTAATTCTGCACTAAATAATATTTTCCCTCCTTCGGAACATGTCCGAATGGGAAAAATCTATCTACAAGATTATTCTTGCATAAAATGGGAATATCTTGTGATTAAACCTAGAGGTTGTAGAATTTTTTTCATTTAAAATATTTTAATCTTTATTTTCAAACCAAGGGAGTGTCAGGAAAAAATCTATAAAAAGTCCTGAGCCTTTTTTTTTTGGCCTGTCTAGCTATTCATTTAGCTATCAATTAGAATGGGAAAGCAAAACAAAACTGGCCCAAGTTTGCTATGGCAGGATAAATTGACAATAGAAATGCTGCATTAAAATACGCCAGGTTTGGCCAGGGGCTGGGGTGAAAAAAAAATCCTTCAATAAATTATTTTGAGAAAGGCAATTGGGCAACAGCTTGGAATGCTACTGACTGCTTTATACTTAAGCCTACCTCTTTCATGGGGAGATCCAAGACAGAGCTGATGTTAATGAGTTAGAAAAAACTTCAGAATGGAAGACTTCCTGTTTCTTTGCTCAGTAAAGGTATTGTGTTTTAAATTGGTATTACATTCGATTCTGGCTCGATTTGAATTTGATATTGGTTCTGGTGATACTCCAGATTGGAACAGATCAGAGCTAAAATCTCTAAGCTTTATATCTAAGTTCATAAGACCTCGTAATCCATCTTTTGATAGGGGATCCCTGTGCTTTCTAGTATGTCACTTCATAAATGAGGAACAGTAAAACAGTACATATGGTTACAAAGAGATCCATTCCAAACCATCCTGAATGAAGTTGCTTAATTATCAACTTTTCCTTGAAGAAATGTCAATAATTTGGATACTTCAGCTGGAGATGATCCTTGGTATGCTATTTTGCGAATAAAAAAAATACCATTTTGGTATTCTACCCATTGTAATTATGCATAATGTATTAGAATGCAAATGAACAGAATCTGGCTTTGTGTGATGTCTACAAAGGACATCTTGAAAAGGAGAATCCAGATTTTCTATGGCAGACTAAGAAGTAATGCTGGAGATACAAAGTTTTATAGAAATAGCTTCAAGATTGTTCTGAATGGACTTTTTAGCATTTGGGATCATAGTGAATCTTTAAAAACATAATCCAATGATCAATATGCTGCCGAAAAAAAATCATTATGCTTATAGGAAAATCCTGGTTCTGCTTGATTTAGAAATCATCTACACGAGGTCAAGCTGGTATATCAGGCTTAAAGTATATATATGAAAGACCCTGAAAGGGCTTAGACAGGTAACATAAATGGAAGAGAAAAATACAGAAGCAGAGCCCAGTATTTGATACCTATTGTACTAGCAACAAGTGTGGTGATGACTGCTGGCTCTGTAGTGGTTGCAGCTTCTGTAGTGGTGGTTACAGCTTCTGTGGTGGTAGTGGTTGTAACTTCTGTGGTGGTCGTTACAACTTCAGTAATGGTGGTTGGGACAGTAGTTTCTGAAATGGTGGTTGCGGCCACAGTTGGAACATCTGTAGTTTGGTGGATGGTTGGAGAGATTAAAACTAGGAGAGGGAAGTGCAATAAACTGCTTTTAAAAGATACTATGATTTCAATTCTCTGGCTTTGCCAATTATTTGTTGAAGCTAAACATGCAAGCATGTGAAGACAAAATGGATCAAGACACTCGTTCACACATACATCCTGCCAAATGTAAACAGCATATATAATTCTTTTAACTAAATAATTTTTTTTTCAAAAGAGAAACAAAGCTTGAATTTCATTCTTTCCTTTGTGGTTTTATAGTAAGATTTCTGCAGCTCAGTAAGACAGGATGGTCAGTTATGGGAGATGCTTGGAATGTCTCAGAGGAAGGGGCATGCAAAAAATGCTGAGGACAAGCAGAGGGCAAACATGCAGACCCCAAACAGATAGTTCTCATAAACAAGCTATTTGTTTATTTAAAATTTTGTTTTAAATTTTCTATTCATTAATTCAACAGATTGCTCTCTTGGTGGCCTTGAGAGCTTAACAGTACTCCAGCCTCTGAGGGCAATAAATATAGGCAAACCTGGAATAGAAAGCAAGGAATTGAAGAACGTATTTGTCTTGTCTTAATAAAGCAAACTGAAACAAGAAGAAGCTCTAAGGAAATGAAACAATGCAGAACAACTCACTTTCAGTGATGAGAAACTCTAACTTAGTCTTATCATTTTAAGAAAATGAAGGTATATGTACAAATAAGAAAAGTAATATTGAATCTTCAAGTGGTTCTGCTAAAATAAAAAGTTAATCCATTGTGCAGTAAAATAGCCAGCTACTGCAAATTCAGAAGTAGTCCTCTAGGAAACATACTTATCTTTTTATATTCTTAATTAATTAGGATGATTATTTTAAAAAAAATATTCTAGGGATGTTATTTGGATTGTTTTAAACTTAATAGAAATATTTTGATATTAGTAATGAAACATAAAAGAATTCATGCTACCATAATGGCAAAACATTTTTTTTAAAAAAGCTCATCCTATATGTGGAAAGAAAAGTTGTCTGTGTGTGTGCATGATTAATGCAATATCCCGTGAGACAAAATGCATTAACAGAAATCATATAAAATAGATTTGCATAAAAAATTCATATGGCAATGCATATGGTGATACATATGTATAAATGTAAAATTTAAATAATTACCCTATTTATACAGAAATAGACTAGGCATAATGTATAAGACAGTGGTTCTCAACCTTTTTAATGCTGCGACCCCCAACCGGTCCTAAGTCGAGGACTACCCAACCGGTCGTAAGTCGAGGACTACCCAACTGGTCGTAAATCGAGGACTTTCCCTGCCCGGGAGCGCCACGCATGCGTGGTGCCACCCCCTGCGCCGGCCGAGGCCTAGCTGGCAAAGGGCAGCTACGGCGCAGGGCGACCACCGGCTGGGCCACCAGCTGGCCCAGCCCAGGCAGGTAAGGCACCCACTGGGCCCCAAGTGCACCAGCAACCCTCCCTGCACTCACCGGCCTCCCACCTCCCACCCCTGGCCCTCTTTTACTTACTTTTAGTAGTTGCTGAGCAGGGAGGGAAGCTTTCCTTGCAGCACCGTTTGCAGACTGGGGCTTTTGGCAGTCTCAACAGGGCAGAGACAGCCTGGACAATTCCTATTGGCTTTTGAAAGCCAAAAGAATTAGAATCTATTCAAGAAAGTCTATTCTATTGGCTTTCGAAAGCCAATAGAATAGAGTCTCTTGAATAGAGTCTATTCTATTGGCTTTCAAAAGCCAATAGAATAAGAGGGAGTAGCACAGCTAAAGAAAAAGGGAAAAAAATGGCAGACAGCCTTGTTTGGCGACCCCCGTGAAATGGTCGTTCGACCCCAAATGGGGTCCCGACCCACAGGTTGAGAATCACTGGTATAAGAGAACACAGTCTGTAATTGAGGTGCCTAAAGTTGGTAAGCAATTTTAGATCCTTATTTTCCTTTCTTACAAGACACTTATTTTCCTTTTTTCTATTTCCCTCTGAAATTTAGATAGCTCTGTAATTAAGGGGTATCATTAAAGAACAATCATCTGATTGCTAATCAAAGAAAGAATTACATAAATAAATCCATCTTTAACTTGTTCTGGACACTGAGAATCTTATTCTTTATAATCTGCTTACTTCAGGTTTGGGACAAAGAGATTACTTAGATATTGTTGCCAACTGCTCAAAGCTGAATACATAGCCACCTCAGAGTTTCTGAATAAGATTATTGTTTTAAATTCTGCTGTAGAAATGTCTGAAAAGCATATTCTGCAAGTGGACACTATGATATAGAACAGTGGTTCTCAACCTGTGGGTCGGGACCCCATTTGGGGTCGAACGACCATTTCACGGGGGTCGCCAAACAACGCAGTCCGCCATTCCCCCCCCCTTTTCCTTAGCTGTGCTACTCCCTTGTATTCTATTGGCTTTTGAAAGCCAATAGAATAGACTCTCTTGAATAGAGTCTCATTCTATTGGCTTTCAAAAGCCAATAGGAATTGTCCAGGCTGTCTCTGCCCTGCTGAGCCCGCCAAAAGTCCTATTCTGCAAACGGTGCTGCACCAGTTGAGTAGTCCTTGACTTACGACCAGTTGAATAGTCGTCGACTTACAACCGGTTGGGGGTCGCGGCATTAAAAAGGTTGAGAACCACGGATATAGAAAATTAAATGCATGAGTTCATTTATCTCCTGTCTGGAGTTGGTAAGAATGAGGTTGTCAAAGAGGCAGATCACAAAGGAAAGAAGAAAGATAACTGTCTATCAGTGCCAAGGAGTTTTGACAAGATTCAACATAGTCTATTACTTGGCCAAGATTTATTATGGGTAATAAGGCAAAAAAAATCCAATCAAATGTAATTCTCTTAAAATATGCCATGGGAAATTCATTCTTCTCTATTGATGGAACAAAGAAAGAATAGCTCATAAAAATGAGAATCCAATATAAAGAGTTCCCCAAAACAACATATCCAAGTTTTGCAATACTGTTAATAGAGGCAGCAATTAAGAATTTGCTTTTCTACTCATCCCCAATATATTTTGGGAGGCTAATGTATATTGTTGCAGTCAAAGAAGGGTAGGACATATAAGAGGGACAGGTGAAAATCTCATCTGAGTAGACTTTTACAGATGTGTTTATGAAGTTTTAGTAGAATTGGGTTTCAATTTGTAGCTATGCTTTATTCTTATAAAAATGAGGAACATTAGTTTATCTCAAGGACTAAGAAGTTGTGAAGAAATGAAAAACTGTCACAATTCTGCTACATCTAGAAATGTTACATCTTTTTCAAAACCTTTGGATGTTGCCATTTATTTTGCAGGAAGCATTTTGTGCTAAATGGCCCATTGGTAGGATAAATCTTAGTCTGTTAAAGTGGTAGAAATTGGACCCAAGCAGCCAAGTCTCAATTAAATAGGCTATTAGATTTAGAAACTCTTAAGAAAACAGAGTTTGATCCAATCTATTATGGACCAAGCACAGCAAAATTAAATTAACCCAAGAAAGAATTATAGAATTTTATAGTTGATAAGCTTACTCCCAGCAGAGGGTTTGGAAAGGTACAAAAGGGTTGTGAATCTTTTCCCTAAGTATTAGAGTAACAAGAAACACATAATAGAGATTTTTTAATACACTGCAAATTATTTCATACATCTAAATTATTTAGTTCATGTGAAATTTCCATGTCTTTTGCTTAAAAATAATTAAACTGAATTATTCTGTTCTTGTATATAATATTATGAAAAAGATTATACTTTTTACTATTATAAACACAAGGAAAGGCACAGCTTGCCTTAGATATAATTAAAATGTCAATATAAGAATTGCACACCATTCTATTAGCCCTCTTTCCTTATGCATATTTAAGACTATGGCAACATGAACAAAGAATAGCATTTAATGTTGGAGTTTTGCTCCCAGTCTACTCAGACGAGAAGCTCAATCCCAAAGGGTATGAATGAGGAGCAAAACTATGCTTTTGGCTAATAAGATTGTAAATAAATCCTTTTTAGTCAGCTACTGGTGAAAATAAACTAGCCTGAGCTAAATAAGATGCTAAAAATTCAATATGAAAACATGTACCCTTGGGTGTGACTACTCTTGATAATTTGGCTCTACTGCTTTTTGAATACTGAAAGAAGAGAATATTTGTAGCTGTAGGTTGAATTATGGGGTCTTTCTGCTCTCTGAGCTTGGATGTTCTCTTGCAGACATTTCATTACCAAACTAGGGAACATCATTAGTGTTAACACAGACTTCTGAATAGAATGCTCATGTATACCTATGATTATTTGAAAACAATTGGGCTTCTTCCTCCCAATCTTCCTGATCTTTTTTTTGTTTAAATGACAATTTAATACTTAAAATTGTTTTCCTACCTGATGTCTTTCACACATCTGGAGGATACTGGAGTGAGGAAAGCTGACATATTTAAATAATCCTCCTGGTGATCTACAGTAATGCGATATCATGGGATTTTGTTATCTTACCCCAAAATCATAGAATGGCAAAATTAAAATTTTAAACTTGAAAATAAAAACAAAGCAACTCTGAAAAATCTCAGTTAAAAGGTTTATTTGCTGACTTAAAACTCTACTCAATGTTGAAGAAATCCTGGTGACAAAAAGGCATGCCAGCAGACTCTGTCCTTGAACTAAATCCAATAGACTTTCCCCCTTCCATTTTGAATTCAAAGATCTACCCCCAAAAATATGAAGGCAGTAATTTTTACTATATGAAAGGGAGTAAATGCAAACATGCAAACTATTGGAAGGGTTCAACTGAAATCAGTATCTGTGCATCTTTTAAACTTTTACAGACTGCTATATAGCCTTGAGCTAGTTTCCTTCCAGATTGTTGGTATTACAGAAATTATTTCATAAATCTAATTCCCACATTCAATTTAATAAAGAGAGAAAACCTCTCATTTTCAATCTTTTGTATAATTTTAATTGTCAGCTGAAGAACTTTTATGTAACAGAAGCTATTCCATTTCTTCAGAGTTCAGTACAGGT